GCGGCAAGAGAAATGCCTTAAATCGACGTTTGAAGGTTCAACTTTGGGTTTCCGGTTAGCGTTAAGAGGGTATCGAAAAAAAAAAAGCGATTTAGATTTGTCATTTTAGGTAGTCATTTTTTTAGCTTATCCGATGCAGTATGAGTTGTAGAATCGAATAAAACCATTCCCGGCGGGCTAGCGCAAGAGAAATGCCTTAAATCGACGTTTGAAGGTTCAACTTTGGGTTTCCGGTTAGCGTTAAGAGGGTATCGAAAAAAAAAGGCGATTTAGATTTGTCATTTTAGGTAGTCATTTTTTTGGGTTTCCGGTTAGCTTATCCGATGCAGTATGAGTTGTAGAATCGAATAAAAATAAAACCATTCCCGGCGGGCTAGCGGCAAGAGAAATGCCTTAAATCGACGTTTGAAGGTTCAACTTTGGGTTTCCGGTTAGCGTTAAGAGGGTATCGAAAAAAAAAAAAAAATTTAGATTTGTCATTTTAGGTAGTCATTTTTTTAGCTTATCCGATGCAGTATGAGTTGTAGAATCGAATAAAACCATTCCCGGCGGGCTAGCGGCAAGAGAAATGCCTTAAATCGACGTTTGAAGGTTCAACTTTGAAGTTTCCGGTTAGCGTTAAGAGGGTATCGAAAAAAAAAAAAAAAAAAAAAATTTAGATTTGTCATTTTAGGTAGTCATTTTTTTTTAGCTTATCCGATGCAGTATGAGTTGTAGAATCGAATAAAACCATTCCCGGCGGGCTAGCGGCAAGAGAAATGCCTTAAATCGACGTTTGAAGGTTCAACTTTGGGTTTGCGGTTAGCGTTAAGAGGGTATCGAAAAAAAAAAAAAAAACGATTTAGATTTGTCATTTTAGGTAGTCATTTTTTTAGCTTATCCGATGCAGTATGAGTTGTAGAATCGAATAAAACCATTCCCGGCGGGCTAGCGGCAAGAGAAAAATTAAATCGACGTTTGAAGGTTCGACGTTTGAAGGGGTTCAAAAAAAAAAAGGATTTAGATTTGTCATTTTAGGTTTCCGATGCAGTATGAGTTGTAGAATCGAATTTCCCGGCGAAGCGGCAAGAGAAATGCCCTTAAATCGACGTTTGAAGGTTCAACTTTGAGTTTCGGTTAAAAAATCGAAAAAAAAAAAAGGCGATTTAGATTTGTCATTTTAGGTAGTCATTTTTTTAGCTTATCCGATGCAGTATGAGTTGTAGAATCGAATAAAACCATTCCCGGCGGGCTAGCGGCAAGAGAAATGCCTTAAATCGACGTTTGAAGGTTCAACTTTGGGTTTCCGGTTAGCGTTAAGAGGGTATCGAAAAAAAAAAACGATTTAGATTTGTCATTTTAGGTAGTCATTTTTTTATCCGATCCAGTATGAGTTGTAGAATCGAGTTGTAGAATCGAATAACCATTCCCGGCGAGCTAGCGGCAAGAGAAATGCCTTAAATCGACGTTTGAAGGTTCAACTTTGAGTTTCCGGTTAGCGTTAAGAGGGTATCGAAAAAAAAAATTTAGAGATTTGTCATTTTAGGTAGTCATTTTTTTTTTTTTTATCCGATGCAGTATGAGTTGTAGAATCGAATAAAACCATTCCCGGCGGGCTAGCGGCAAGAGAAATGCCTTAAATCGACGTTTGAAGGTTCAACTTTGGGTTTCCGGTTAGCGTTAAGAGGGTATCGAAAAAAAAAAAAAAAATTTAGATTTGTCATTTTAGGTAGTCATTTTTTTTTTATCCGATGCAGTATGAGTTGTAGAATCGAATAAAACCATTCCCGGCGGGCTAGCGGCAAGAGAAATGCCTTTTCGACGTTTGAAGGTTCAACTTTGAGTTTCCGGTTAGCGTTAAGAGGGTATCGAAAAAAAAAAAAAGGCGAAGGTTTTTGGGTTAGCGTTAAGGGTATCGAAAAAAAGGCATTTTTTTAGGTAGTCATTTTTTTAGCTTATCCGATGCAGTATAGTTGTAGAATCGAATAAAACCATTCCCGGCGGCTAGCGGCAAGAGAAATGACGTTTGAAATCAACTTTGAAGTTTCAACTTTGAGTTTCGGTTAGCGTTAAGAGGGTATCGAAAAAAAAAAAAGGCGATTTAGATTTGTCATTTTAGGTAGTCATTTTTTAGCTTATCCGATGCAGTATGAGTTGTAGAATCGAATAAAACCATTCCCGGCGGGCTAGCGGCAAGAGAAAAATGCTTAAATCGACGTTTGAAGGTTCAACTTTGAGTTTCCGGTTAGCGTTAAGAGGGTATCGAAAAAAAAAGGCGATTTAGATTTGTCATTTTAGGTAGTCATTTTTTTTAATTATCCGATGCAGTATGAGTTGTAGAATCGAATAAAACCATTCCCGGCGGGCTAGCGGCAAGAGAAATGCCTTAAATCGACGTTTGAAGGTTCAACTTTGAGTTTCCGGTTAGCGTTTTTGTTGTCAGGTAGGGTTTTTTTTTAAAAAAAAAATGCAGTATGAGTTGTAGAATCGAATTTAAATTTGTCATTTTGCCTTAAATCGA